AATTTATCACGTCATATCCTTGTTGGATTTGGGCGGGGAAAAAACGATTCTGGGATTTATTGATAGGGCGAATCCGTCAAAGGTGTTAGATTAGTGAAAAGGTTAGTGGATTAGGAGCCAGATGAAAAAAGTGTTGTGCAGAGCTATGGTGAATGGGAGAGGAGAATGTATTAGCCAATAGCGAACGGAAACAGGTGACGGAGGAGGAGGCCCGGGGGTTTTCAAGGAGGGCGACCCCAGATCTAGAGTCAGATTAGTATAAGAACTAGTGTTAGAAGAGTTCGGAAGAAAGAGTAAGCGCCGAGCTATGGCGGAAAAGGGGAACGACGGGGAGCAGAAAACGAGATACCCCTCGATTCTTAATGGAATCGAGTAGGGTAAAAGTTGGAATAGAGATTTTTGGACGAGTCGATTTCGATGGTAGTGTTAGTTTTGACAATAGGTTAGTGAGAAGTTAGTCGAAAAGTAGGTTGTGCCTAGTATGGCAGTGAATACTTCAGCGTTTTAGCGGAAGATTCATTCAATTTTTGTCAGTCGTTTCCGTGGGGATGCTGCAGGCGGGCAGCGAAGGTGGAGACTTACCTGTTACCCGGTGTGTTGCTCCTCCTACCAACGGAAAACTCTTTCTCTTCACCTCTTGCATGTGTACAACAACTCGTGCACCTGGTCATATTCTACCGAAAGGTTCGACCGAGGCAATAGCGGGCAGGCAACGAACAGACGGGTGAGCTTGAATATCGCACAAGAGAGAGAGGGGGCAGAGAGAGAGAGAGAGAGAGAGAGCTATGAGAGGTAAGGATGGAAGGCCAGGCTTACCTGGCCAACTGAAGTCGTACGAAATACCGAGTCGACAGTGAACGTCGCCCTGTTCTGCAGGAAGATCCACTCAGATAGAATATGCCCCGTCGGGTGAGACAATGAGTGGCGGGCCGTGGGGTTGGAGACTTTACCTGTTGGCCAAAGTGCGTACTGCATCCTATGAGATGCACCGGGCTGTAAATCGGTGGAGGTTCACCACAAGTTTAGCTTGAGGGTGCATCTTGTTGATTGTTGCAGGAGATTCATCGGTAATTGGGTATTCCCGGGGGAGAGACTGCTTGCGGCCGCCTGAACAAAAGTTTGGTTGTCTACGGTCGATGGAGCGGGAAGGTGAGCTCGCCTATCTATCAAACGCACAACTGTTTGGGCAAAGACGACAGCAGCGAGGGGGCCACAGGGGAGGGGAGTCTGTCGATCTGGCCGAAAAAAAGGGGCTGCTGTCTGTGGGCCGCTACGCGGGCCCATCCACCGTTTAATACAACAAGGAAGGGGACTGCTGGCTGAATGCTTACCTGACCGAGGCCGTACCCATCTCGCCAAACCAAAGAAGTGGAGAGTGAGCTGGGAGGCTGCAGATCCTGTCGGCCAGACTATGGGCCACCCATCTCATTAGCCGGAGCAGCCGAAGGACAGGCGTGGAGCACAAGTTTGCCCCTCGGCTGGCATACTGCAGTTACGTAGCTAGCCTGACTGCGCAATGGATTCACTACGAAGGAGGGAGGGGCTGTGTTTTGTGCCACTAGCCCCATGACTCGAGTTGTGGCCATGGCAGGATAGACCTCGAGCTTCTGCAGGATAAGCTGAGCGTTTGAGAGAGGTGGATTGTCGTTGAGATTGAGGTAGTCGTCAAGGAGAGGACTGTTGAAGATTGACTTTGGTTTGATCGAGTTGCTGTGCACTTTTGGCCATCATTGCGGGGCCCCAGCCAGGCGCCTGGACCTGACAAACGCGGCCGACCAACGGCCTCAAGATAACAAGGCCCTCTCCTGAGAGTTGAGTTGTCCCCTTCTTGTATCTCGAGAGTCTGAAACCCCTCACTCTATCCTTCTTACTCTAAGTCTAATCCTGGTTACAAGAGGAAGGCGGCAGGCAGGATTGCAACCCATAGGACCGCAGCAAAACTCTGTGGGTCGTAAGCCCACCGATTATGGGAGCTCTGTCGGAACTCAGGAGTTTTGGAGGCAGGGAACTGAAAGGTAACCATTGCTTTCCTTCGATAAACCCTGTTATAACCCCTATCGATATCTCTTGCTATGTTTGACTGAGTATACTGCCTGTGCCCTTATGTTGACTTTTGGTTTGTTTTAAGACAAGGACTGGATAAAGGAAGGTCTGCACAATGTCAGTTTCAGTTTTATTGTTTGACTGAAGTAGATTGTGGGGTTGCATCTGAGGGAAGGATGGGAGGAAGGCAATATTGCTTGTCTGATTGGGTTAATCAAAGGCTGGGCAAGTCCCCATAAGTTTGGGGAGGCCCAGTGCTATGTTTATTTTTGATTGCCTGGAGAACCAGACATGTTCCATAAGTTTGGGTGGTCTGGTTGCTCTTTGTGAGGACTGACTGAGATTGATTTTTTAGGGACCAAGCACGTTCCATAAGTTTGGGTGGCTTGGTCGCCTTTTTTACTTCGGGTTTCTTTTAGTTTCTTTTGGTTCTGAACGAGGAGGTCTGAGCATGTTCCACAAGTTTGAGTGGCTCAACCGCTTCCTGCTTTGGCTTTAAGAAAAAAAAACAGGTTGAGGACCAAACATGTTCCATAAGTTTGGGTGGTCTTGGTCCAATGCCACACACATGCTGAAACCGAAAGGTTATAACTTGGCTATATTTTACTACTACATTACTTGTGAACAGGCCAGTCAGACAAGGTTCCATAAGTTTGGGTGGTTTGACTATAGCTTATCACAAACTGAAGAGAGTATTATAAAAGTAAACTTGTGGTAAGAAGGGGCAGGCTGGATCTTGAGCTAAAGATGATCGGTTCAGTTATATGCTACCTCAAAAGACTAAGTGTAGATAATTATATAAAACAAGGATACTTAAACAGTTCAGGGCGACTAGGGTGGCCTAGTCATATGCTTAAAGAAGAGAAAAGTTGTTGTGCCCTATATTTGTGTATACTCCATGGTTGAGCTAGACATGTTCCATAAGTTTGGGTGGTCTAACTTTATGCCCTATGTAAGCTGGGTATAAAGGGATAAATCATTGAAAGACTATGAACTATTGTTTGATAAGTTGACTTTGGGATGGTGAGAGTACTTACCTTTGTGATTTGGCCTGCATGTGGCTCAGTGAGACTACTACTTAGTCCGAGTTTCAGTTCGACAGGTAGTTGCTTTAGTTGCTCGCCATGTGCTAGAGTCATAAGAGTTAGTTTCAATTCCTGCATTTTCTGAGCTAAGTTTTTTTTACTTAGGTCAATTTCTGCATTTTCTGAGATCTTTTGTTATACTTGGTTTTGTATAAATTTTGGTAAGCTACTTTCTTTACGGGAAGCGCTGCCGAAATTTCTACAAAACCAAGGAGTTAGTCAGATTCTATCTTTTCAAAGATTTTGTCTAACATTTATATACGACTTAGTAAAAATCTGACGAGTCTCCTTTTCTAAAGGGAGTGCTGGCCGAATTTTTGCTAATTCAGGGAGTTAAGACAAAATTAGACCTTGAGAAGTCAAAGTCACTTTAGATTCTGAACTTAGCTTTGTATAAATCTTGGATTAACACTTTTCTAAAGGGAGTGTTTCCGAAATTTTTACAAATCTAGGGAGTTAGTTAAATTTTGTCTTAATTAAACTCGGGTTTTGCTCTGGGTTCATATCAGACTTAGTAAAAATATGGAAAGTCTTCTTTTCTAAAATGAGTGCTGCCCAAATTTTTACTAACTCAAGGAGTTAAAAAAAACTTTCCAAAATTAGAGTTTGGTTTTCGTTTTCATATTTAAGTTACTATAAATTCTGAGAAGGCACTTTTCCTACGGGAAGCGCTGCCAAATTTTTCTTAGTTTAGAGGAGTTAGATTATATTTTGACGGATGACAATTCTGGTAATCCACTCTATATAGAGGAGATTCTGCCAAAGGTCTACCTTTTCTTTAGGAACTGACTGAGGGGTAGACTCAGGCTTCGTTAAGTAGAATAATTATTTGTAAGATCATGATTATGAAGATTATTCCCGATTCGGACTCATAGATTTAGCTTGGGGATTGACCTGTCTTGTGTTACTGGTCCTCTTGATCGTTTGATTCAGGATCTGGAATAGATTCAGCTTGATCCCACGAGGATCATCTTCTGTTATCACTAATAACAGGTCGGTTGCCGATTCATCTGTTTACGACTGAACTCCAATCCACTCTTGCCGCTCAACCTAAAGGCTTTAGCCTGTGGTTTGAATTGTTTTGTTGTCTTTTCGCCCGGACTTTATTTAAATGGCCATTTAAAGAAAAGTACCAAGTATTTTATTTTGAGGAGTTGCACAAGAGTGAGGCTTGCATGGCTAAAACAAGGGGTACGCATGCAAAGAATGGTTGAAGTTGACCTCGTGTAGTGCATGGACTTTTGGTTGAATCTTCGTTGTGATTGCAGGTATGTTTTGTGGTGCGGACATTGGGGTGACCACCTGCGATCATATACATATATATGGCTGAGAGGAGTCTCACTGTGATTGTGAGAAGTGATCGTGACATAATTATAACCCTCTATATATATATAAATACATATGTCTTGAGTGTTTTGGGCGGTCTACTGTGACCGCGCATAAGGGTTGAATAAATTTTGCTTTTGAGAGAAAAGGGAGATCGCTTGTTATCCTTTGTTTTTTAGAGGTTTTTATAGTTGGATGTTGTAGTCCGTGGCAGCCGTCAAAGTCAAACCCCTTGATTTCTCTCCAACCCCTGGATGATGAAGTTGGTCTTCAGGGCGATAAGAGACGATTACCACTTTAGGTATGAACAAGTGTACCACGCACTCTCCGCAGGGTGCATAAGAGGGTGTGGTTCACAACCACACTTGGCGGTTGTCCAGCGTCGAGAGATCAATCCTGCAGAAGAGGGTCTGGTTCTCAACCGCACTTGGCGGTTATCCAGCGTTGAGAGATGAATCCCTCAAGGTGCGTGTCAGCCGACATTTGAGTGTCGAATGCGACCCTCGAGATTAAAGAGGACTTGTGTCGCATGAGTATAGGTACTACATAGTACGCTATCATTGCGACTACTTGTGTATGCTTGCATTGCAAGTCGGTATGAGGTTAGCCCTGCGTCCGCGCGGTTTTATACTAAGTCTCGCACGCAACACCTATCTGATTTTCGCATCGGAGAATTATGGGATGACCACTAAGGGACTAGGAGTGTTGTCGCGTTGTTTATTCTGTGTCATTATATGTATGTGTATGTGTGTGTGTTTTTATTTTTATGTTCTTTAGAGTGGTGTATGCGTGGTGTGTGGGATGCGTCCTAGTCGACCGACGACAAGTCGCGCTTGGGACCTCAGCCCCCCAAGGTGTCGGTTCGCGTGCGGGTCCAATAGAGGCGTAAAGCCGCGCATACCCCTCTGCGATTGCAGACGATTAGCTTTCGTACTTTGGACTGGTAGCTCGGCGGGGATACGCCCACCGGAGGGAGGTGACAACTCCCGTAAGGTGGAGTTAAGTTGTGCCTCCCGTAGGCCCTATCCTGTCGTAGGGGCTCATGAGAGGTATGGCTGGCGTCCGGAGCACAAGTTGGAAAGGATGCTCCTCACATAAGCCACAAGCTAAATCCTACTCTGGAGGTGCATGACATCAATATATAAGACCCGTTCGCCCTAGTGAAATAATTGGCCAATCATCTAACCACACCACATAGATAACGACAATGGTGTAAGATGATTCAAACATCGACATTGAATAGCTAACTGATTTTTCTCACGTGTTATTTCACGAATTTCCTATTGGGTGAGAGTGATGCAATGAATACAGTTCAAAATCCTCAAATATGCCGATCGCGTGCGGTCAAATGGCCCGCGGACACGACCGCGAGTGATATTTAGCTTTAAGGATATTCTCTCGACCTGCTCTAGATCCTTCTCGTACTAAATGGCAAATTCCCTCGTACCAGGCGACAAACGATGAATCTGATCTGGATTCACGTAGTCACGTCGGGGTTGCCAACCCTTGCGCAGTTCATTCGGGGCGCGTGCAGTAGACAGGTGCACCAAATAATTATACGCACGCTGAACTTTGGGAGGATGCTCGCCCAATCAATCTGATCGGGTCTAATGTACATGCGCAACACTTGCTGGAGCATCTGCTCAGGCTGACCGTTGGTCTCCGAGTGTCTTCCGGTGACCCATATACTTCCATCAACTGCTGTCAGTGCTCACCTGTCAATCTACTATCACTTTCACTAACAATCGTCAATGGGTGTTCATAGTCCTTGACCCAATGGTTGAAGAATTATCTAATCAACAAGTCTGCTTTTGCCTCGGCAGGCAGCGGAATAAAAACAACAAATTTGCTAAACCTATCTACAACCAGACTCTTCCTGTTCTTGCTTTTTGTTATGATCCTGGCCAATTTCAAAGTACACATTCATCAAAAAGTGCAATGTCGTCCAATTGCAAAAAGAAATGAATGAACTTGAGATGAGAGAGAGGGAAAGAAGAAGAAGAAAAAAAGAAATAAGAAGATGATGTACACCAGCATAGACCAATGATAATCCTCTTCTTCTTCGCCAACCACTCTCCTCCTCCTGATCTCCTCCCCTAATAATAATAATAATAATAATGAATGGTTGAACCACAATCAATGTCCGAATCCGTCTTCTACTGCAAGTATCACATGAGGTCAACCATAGCCATGGTCGCCCTTCTTCCTCCTTCCAAGGCCGAGGCTATGTCGGACTACTAGGGACTGGCCCTGAAGTGCAGAGGACAACTCAAGCAGCTATGGCCGCTCTCGCTCAGGCCGCCATACCTGACTCTGCCTTGAAGCTTCTTGGTGTAGCTCTACCCCCGCTAGGGCCTTCTTGCTGCAGCGCCCACCAAGGTAATGAAGATGACAACCACCATAGCCAGGCAAGTACCTCTGGCGCTCCCCCTTTCTAGTCCTGGTCTTCTCCCTCCTCTTGTCCTTAATCCTCCCCAGCTGCGCTGCTCCTTGCTAGCGCCTCTCCAGCCAGCGCTCCAACTAGTGTGTCGCCAAACTTGCACACTGATAATGAAGAGCACTTTGCTCCTCCTGGAGATATAGCAGCCTATTTGCCTCTTGACGAGTGACTTCCCAGGCGGCGCGGCCTCCCAGCAACCGGTACCTCCTCCCTTTCAGAGGGAAACATCATTGCAAACTTTGATTTTGCCCGTACAAGCCCTAGACTCAGACTGGGTCTCTAAAAATGCCAACTTTTGTCTTCTTTTGCTTGTCCTCGAGGCAGCCATGCCTAACTCTGCCTCGAAGCTTCTTGCTGTAGCTCTACTTCTTGCTGCAGCGCCCACCAAGGTAATGAAGATGGCAACCGCCATAGCCAGGTAAGTACCTTAGGCGCTCACCCTTCCTAGTCCTGGTCTTTCTTCCTCCTCTTGTCCTTGCTCCTCCCCAGCTGCGCTGCTCCTTGCTAGCGCTTCTCCAACAAGCGCTCCAACCAGTGTGTCGCCAAACTTGCACACCGATAATGAAGAACACTTTGCTCCTCCCGGAGATATAGCGGCCTACTTGCCTCTTGGCGAGTGACCTCCCAGGCCGCACGGCCTCCTAGCAAAGGGGACCTCCATTTGGGAGGGAAACGTCATTGCAAACGCTGATTTTGCCCGTACAGGCCCTAGACTCAGACTGGTTGGACTGGTACCCGCCTAGACCTCGCCTACAACTACAGGGGCTCTAAAAATCCCAGACTCAGACTGGTTGGACTGGTACCCGCCTAGACCTAGCCTACAACTACTGGGCCTTTTAATGCCAACTTTTGTCTTCTTCTGCTCGGCCTCGAGTACCCAGCACATCTACCTTGACCCGGTGTGGTACCGGCCTACCGGCCTACCTGCTACTTGAGTGTTTTCCTCTTGCTTCAAGTGTCAGGGGACCTCTTTCCCACCACTTGAGTGGTTTCCCCGCTGCAACCCTCAATGCCACGGCCATAGGTAAGTACTGGCCTTTCAGGCCCTTTGAACAAACAAGTGCCCTTGCGGGTCACACACACACTCAAGCCGACAAGCACTCAAACAAGCATGCAAACCAGCAAGCATGCACACACACAAACTTGGAGAACTCGACAACAAGGGGGAAACTCAACAAGGCATTCATTCCATGAGCAAAACTCAGAAATCAGTTGTGTGTCTCAGTCCGTGTTTCGCAGGGTCCTTACACTACCCCCCTCTCAAGAGCGAGGTCCCTTCAAGCGAGTAACTCACTCCAAGTTCCCGACAAGCGCATCGTAAGCGAACATAGCAAAAATATTTTGTGAGTACTCAGTAGCAGCGAGCTTTGCAGAAATTTTTGGTACAACGTTAGAGGCGATCTGTCGTTCGTATCCTTTAACAGCACGAGCGCCGAGCAGCTCTTTCTTGGAGATCCAATAGAGATCGTCCAACGGTTGGTGCATGAAATGAACCTCATATTGTCTGTTACCGCCTTGATTGCACGAGGGATCATGTTCTCACGATATTTGGAGGTACTAGAATCACCATATATACAGCTTTGATGTGTGAAAGACTGGATACGTGCGCAGATGAGGTGGCACAACAATCACACACGAAGAACCGGACTGATCATTGCCAATCACATCCAAGACTTCCCACGGACCATAATAGACAGGGAGAAGTTTTATGACACCCCCTTTTCTTCCGAAGATTCAGACATCTTGACCCACACATAACTTCCCACTTCGATATCCGAAGGTTTGCATTTCTTATTTGTATGATAGATCATGGCGTGTTGTCGCTTGGTCATTGCTGCAATTGCAACCTTGAGCAAGCAATCATACTTCGCGCTGAAGCCAGGCCTGCCAGGTGTTAGACCGGTCCGCTGTTCGGAGGATAACTATGAGAGCGTATTACGAATCTCCCAACCGTAATGCAGCCTATTTGGCATCATGCCAATGGAAGAATGGATGGAGTAGTTGTACAAACCCTTGACAATACAACTTTTTGTCCCATGTTTCATGATCCGGAATGATTTAAGGCACAAAGAAGTTGAAACACAGTCTGATTAATCTCCTCCGCCAAGTCGTTGGCTTCGGGATGTGGACCAGATGTCATGCTCAATTTGAGACCAGGGAGTTGGGATGTGAAGTCCTTCCATTCAATGCTTATGAAGCGCGGGTCCCGATCAGTCACAAGGGTTTTCGGCGCCCCGAACTGCAGAATGTACTTCTGGTGGAACTCATGGATCACAACTTCACTTGGGGCATGGGGTGGCAATGGGATCAGATTCAGAAATTTGAAAAATCGATCAACAATCACCATCACTTGTGAAAATCCTTTCTTAATTACCTTTCCCATGCTCTGTGAAGTCGATGGAGACAGACTCTCCGGGACCATTGGCAATGGGAAGCGGTTGGAGTAGCCCAATGGGCTTTTGTCTGGACGGTTTGACTCGTTGACAGACTTGACACTCAGCCACAAACCTTTCAGCAAATCCTTTCATACTAGGTCAGTCAAATTGTTGTAATAGGTTTTCGTAGGTTTTGCCAAGCCGAAGCGTCCACTCTGACCGTGACCATGAGCGAAGTCCAAGAAGTGTGTGCGGATAGGCTCATGGTTGGGTTCACACAATCGGTCATACTTTTCGTAACGTCGAAAAACCAAACCTTCGCATTTGTGAAAATCAGGTTCTGCCAGGGGCAGCTTGAAATTGCTTAAGGATTGGAATGAGGTCGGAATCCTTAGCAGTTTACTCTCCTAGTTCCTCCTTCAATTTCTTCTGTAGGTCGTAAGAGTTTACAAGGCAAGTCATGTACTCGGGGTGGCGAGACAATGCATCAGCAACTCGATTATAACAACCCTTTTCGTGTTTCATGTCAAAGGCAAAGATGTCAATTTCATGGAACCAGCGAGTCCACGTGGGGGACAAGGTAGTTTGCTCCTTGATCCATTTCAAGGTTTCATGGTCTGAGAAGACCTTGAAACGACATCCTAAAAGATGGTGCTTCCAATGGTTCAATGCTTCCCGCAGAGCATAAAGTTTGTGCACGTAAGTGGAAGTAGCTACCTTTTCACAGGGCATAAGTCTATTGTAGTATTCGAGTGGCCGCAAACCATTACCATCGTCTTGTTGCAGCATTGTGC